TGTACCCTACTGAACTCTGCTTAGAAAACAGTAGTGAATGGGGCCTACAATGGGGAGATATAGATGACCACCCTCTGCTGAGGGTAATGGAAAAGCTGTGGAAAGTGGGAGTGACAGAGAGAGATGCCATATAAAGTCTATCCAGATAAATGCTGAGGGTAGCTGGAATTAAGAATTGTAGAAAAAAGGAACACCATACAGATAGACAGAGGAGCCATGAACACTGGCATAGAGCACCTCCTGCTGAAGTCCTATTCAAGACGTTTTCCATGAGTGACTGAGATTTTACTGGCTTCTGGGAGCATGGTTGCTAAATGGTGGGTAATGCTTTTTCTATAACCTCTGAGAAGAATCCTGTCCTTTTTCTCTCAACCTCTAAGCTTATTCATTTTTGAGCCTTTGAAGTCAGTATGTGTTTAAGATGAATTGGTGATTACACCCACAGCCTGAAGCAGACACCCAAGTATCCAGATGATCTGGGTGGGAACAATGAGACGGAGAAGTGGGACACAAGGTTTATAGGCAGAGAGAGTTCGCAAATGTTTAACAACCGGCTCTCTGAGAATGCACAACATATTTTAAAATTTAACATGCATTATTAACATTTTCTCCATCACTTTCTTAAGATTAAACAATCATCAAAGCAATTAATCAAGCCCTGATTTGTAGCACTACTGATTTCTGAGATGAAGGTCACACTGAAAATTTAACAATTGGCACTCTCAACTCATTAAAAGCCGACTCCAGCACATGCCGGGTGGATACATGGAGTCAATTTTCAGTTATGTATTCACAAGCCTACATTTACTCAATTGGCTCAGAAAACATTTAAAGCATTAAACATTCCCTCCTAAGTCACAGGCTCATTTTTAGCTCTGATTCAGAGTTTTTGCTTTTTTTTTTCTTCTTTTCCCAGTCCCCTTTGAGTCATTCCCAAGATTGGATAAATTCTTCAGATTTGTGTCTAAAAAGATATGGTGTCTTTCTTTCCAGATCTTAGATCCATTTCTTTGCTTCAAGTCAATACTGCTTCCTTCTAATGGCTATTGGTTCTGCCCGAAGGTACCCTATCACTAGATGTCTTCTTAGGCCTGAACACATATGGTTTTTATTGTAGTAGATGTCATTATTTGTTTTGTTTTGTTTTTAAATTGGTTTCCTGAGCTAAACCATCAGTCTCCATATATATATGTTCTGAGTTCCTTCATTCTCTTTTCCTTCTCCTGATGGCCTCAGTTCTCAGACTTCTCATTGCCCAATTTCTCCCTTCTACCCTGAACTGACTCATTCAAGGTTTTCTTAATCTATCTTCAAACTCACAGTTTCTGTTACACTTCCCTTGGTATTTGAGGACTGACTTTAAGCATCACATGCTTTAGACCAGCATACAGACCCCCATTGGTTCCCTTCCAGTCAGTCCCCATATTTTGTTATTCCCCCAAGTATACAAGAAGAGTCATTTATTCAACTCATCTGCTTTTTATTAGTTTAATTAAATTCAACAAATGTTTTTCATATATCTATTTGGGTGAGAATCACTGCTTGTTGCTATGGGATATTAAATGTTAGTTAAGCCTCGGTTCTTAACCTTGTTCAGTTCACACTCCAGTATTCAACTCCATGGCTCCAGGAAGATGGATAACTTCCAAATCCACTATGATTTTAGGAGAAAAGTGCTTCTCTTTACACAGACAACGCCAGAGAAAAATGTGCATCTTCCTCATGTCTGTATCCTTCACATTTTCTGCCCCATCTCCTTATGCTTCAATTTTTTTTAATTTAAAAAAATTTTTTAAAGACTTACAAATACAAGATTTATTTGAAAGTAAGAAAACAATCGACCCTTCAAAATGAACCTCTGATGGAAAGTGCCTGAAAGAGTAGTGTCTTGAAATAGATCCAAAGCTACTTCCCCTGCTGCTGAATTCATGGTCCACATTTGTTTCTAGGAAACCACCACATTTATGACTTGCAGATAACCTAATATGGTTTTCCTCCATAAACATCCACAGATACCTTATTAAGCACGCTTCTCATGAAAGCCTGTTCCATCTTTAGAGAAATAGTGCAAAAGGGACCAAGAGCTCAGGGCAAACATCATCCCAAAGGAAGAGAAGGGTCAGATATTCTCTGACATCACTGATGGCACAGCAGATAAATTAGAGTTTAACCCACTTTTCATAATGATACTCTTACATCATTCATCTCAGATTTGAAAAATCACCAAATTTATAGTACAATATGATCACAAGTTTTCAGGCTTTTGCCAAGGGTCATATGGGGTGCCTTTCACTTGGCCAGGAGATGATGTCAGACGCCAAGTTCCACAAGCCCACTCTTAACATTCTTCTTTGGGCCCATGATTACATCTAGATAATCACTAATTTCTTAACATGTTCAAGACCATTTACTAAGCTCCTCCACCCCACTGCCATTACCCTGAGATGCTACATCCATTACCATATCCTGGACAATTACCAAATTTCTTCATTTGAGGTTATCCAACCCGCATTCTAGAATAATATTTTAATTACAGAATCTCAGAGCTAAAAAGTTATCCTGTCACCCTTTATAATACTTTAAATCCATTCAACCTCCTTAGAAATTAATCCTCTTTAAAAGTCCAAAAATGGGAGGAAATGAACAAAGTAAAAAGTGCACAGCAGGAACAAAAAAAAACTTACAAAGAAGCAAAGAAAAGATGGACAGCTCTCCACACACCATGTAGTATTTATCATAGAGGTTTCTTAATGAAAATTTATTGCTACATATTGTGAATCCTCTCTTATGTTCTGCTGTGCCCATGACCTTTTTTTTTCTTTTCTTACTTTGTATTTGTTTCAACATTTAAGTTTATTGTGTTTCTTTTTCTTTTCTCTATTCTGTATTTGAGTTCTGGTGTTTGCATCCAAAAAGAGGAAAAAGAAAAAAAATCCAATAATGAGGAGTCCATTACATCTTTAGTCAGTTCATCCTACTTTTGGACAGCTATAATTGGATAGAATTTTTTTTCCTTATTTCTAATCAAAATTTGCCATTTTGAAATCTCATGCATTGTTCCTGATTCATGATAAATATTTTGACTGACAATTCAGTAATTCTGCCCTCTGAGCCCAAGGAAAACAAGTATAATCCCTCTTCTACGTGGCATACCTTCACATACATACCCAAAGGAATTGATAAATACATATGCACTCCTACCTAATACTTTCTTTTTTCAGGCACAAGATCTAAAGTTCCTTTCAGTTGTCTTCTCATGGAAGGGTTTCCAGTCCCCTCTCCATCCCAGTAACCTCCTGGATGCACCCCAGCTTGTCAATGCCATTCTTTAATTGCAGCACCTGAAACTAAATATAGTACTTCACGTGTGGCTCAAGCCCCCATAGTGGGACTGGACCTGCTGCATTCTAAATAAGCACAGATAGAAAGACTGGATATTCCTCACTCTTAATGCAGCCCCACATAGCATTTTTCTTTTTAGTTATCATATCACACTACTGAGTCATAGTGAACGTGAATCGCACTAATAACCACTGGTTCATATGAACTGTTCTCTGTTCTCTTGTTCAGAACTTGTAAAACTTGTTTAAAAAATATGTAGAATTGTAAGACTGTTCTGTGGGCAGTCACTTACCAGGAGCTGGCTTTGCACCCAACGAGGCTTGGATAGGCCCTGACTATATAACAGAGACTGCACTAGATTCAGGCCTCCTGGAGAGTCTCACTGCACATGCCACCTGGACATCTTTGTTCTTTGTTGTAGGTACAGATGTCAGCACTCACTTAGTCCAGGTTCGGTGTCGGGATGAAATGAGTCACTTGCAAATCACCAACCATTAAACAAAAGGGGCTCCCATCAGCTCCATTTGGGAACAGGTCTGGTCAGTCAGTCAACAGGGTATGATGATTCACATGGTCTCAATTCCCCACCAAGTCAAAAGGTGCCAACTATACAAGGCTGGGACCTTTTTATGCCCCACCCAGACTAGGAAACTGCATCAGGGAAGCTGGGTCCAATCTGGTTCTGAGGAGAAAGAAAGCCATTTCAGAGTAAAGAAAGCTACATCAGGAAACGGCTGGTCCCATCATACCCTATATCCCTCTTCTCAGTTCATCACTTACTGAGACTGGCTTTGTCCCCTCTGAGCTCCTAGGAGCCAGAGCTGAGATCTTGCTAGGATCAGATACAATTTATCAGATGTCTCACTGGCTCGAGTGCCTCCCCCCCATTGAAGTAGTATTATGTGTATATAAGATGTACATGCATGCACATGTATATTTGTGTAGGATATAGAGTAGTATAGTACAGATCCTTAGCACAGTACCTGGCACATAGGAGGCACTTGATAAATGCTTATTCCTTTACCTCACCTTACCCCACCACTAAACTACTTGATGTAAAACGGTTTGGCAAATACATGGGGTTAGTTTTCTGTCTTTCCCTCCACTTTGAATTTGAAGTCCTCTTGAGGAAATTCTCAAGGTTCTAGGCAAATGTTTTGTTGTTGTTGTTTTACTAGCCCTTGTTAGGTACATTCCTTCTTTCACTATCATTATCATGTTTTCATCTGGGAGCCATAAACCATATCCCAGTCTCAGATATCGTCCTTTTAGACTGCTGATTAATTCCCATATCTACTTTCTTTTCTGAATTCTCTTTCAATAGGAAATGGTAATGAAAGTATAAATCACAATACTGTCTGAACCTTAGGGTCATGGGTTTTGTCCAGGACTTCATAATGCTTAATATTGCTTTTAGTTCCTTCAGACAGCATTATTTATTTGTCAATGAATCACCAGCAAGGAGATTGTCAGGGGATGTGGAATCAGCTCAAACTAGCTCATGAAAGCTGATTGTTAAATTTTCAGTGTAAGCAGTTGCAACTTAGAAATTGGCAAATGCTATACTTTAGGGCTACATTTATTGTTTCTTTGGTTGTTTAGACATTAGAACGCCAAAAAGAAATGTTAACATATGTCATGCGCACTTTTTAAAAAAAAAAAAGAGAACCGCTTGTTAAACTTTTACCAGCACATGCCTGGGTATTGGTCATCATGTGTGACTGTCCTCAAGAGGTTTTCCATTTCATTCCAGTCGAATGCCCTGGGAAAAGAGCAGACTTCTCTATTGCTCATGTCCTCGTCAAGGATTCTCCAGCCATCATTTTCTGTCTTTTCTTTCTCTGACTAGTTCTAAGTAAATCCCTACCTAATGAGACCTATAAATCTACAGAATCATATCTTGGAGATCAAAAATATGCTCTATCCAAGAAAAGGTCCTTCATTTTTCTTCTAAGGGAATAGCCTCATGCTTATGTCAACTGGACCAAATTGAGACAGGAGAATCAGGAATCAAACAGAAGTTTAATTTCAAAGTGAGGAAATGGCTTGTGAGCAAGGACACATGCCAGAGCCCCACCTCTAGTTGGGGGGAACCCACTGTAGTGTGGCCAGATCTCAGTACTTATATCAATGGCTGCACTGTGATCTGTAGCCTTGACAATGAGGGGCACCAGCAACAAGACAAGTTTGATTCATAGCAGGTCTTCATGACCCAAACATGGGTACAACAGGTGCTTGTCTGAGCTCAGAAAATACCTGGTGCTTATCAAAGCAATACAAATATTACATGATTTTGCCAGAAGATGAGATTGTCCAGAGGGTGAATGAAAAGGATTATTGTTATGCCAAGCTCAGGGCACAGCTTGCTTGCTGGGCCTCAACTCTGGAAAACAAGGTATCTCCTACTGTCTTGACACCTATTACTTGCTCATTCTTCTTTGTTTCATAGTTTTCTAACCTCCTTTCACAATTTAGGATTTCTCTCTTTCTCTTTGCTTTCTTTTTCCTTATTTGTTTGAACCATTCTTCCTTTTTTTTTCAAGGAACCCTTTATTCTTGTAGGAGAATAAGATTGGAGAATAGTGAGTGTTCTTGCAGCCTTTTCACCTCTTGTAGGACAGAGTATTCCATGTATGCATGGAACACTCTGCCACAATAATTAACTCATTTTAACAGTGGGTGGGGACGGGGGATGACATAATGGCCCCTAATGTCTGTGTGGTTTTCTCCTATTCACCCTTAAGGCATTTATTTTAGGCAAAAAGTTATGAGTTCAGTCACCATCACTGAACTCATGGTTAGGAAAATTCCTAACACTTAGGCAGAAGCTGTACTTTCTGTCTAACATTACAATTATATCTATCCCTAGTTAACTCCTGGCATCTGTGGTTGAGGTAAAATTTAGCTTATTAGAAATATTTGAGTAATAGAACAACAAATTGTATTATACTATCTGTGGATAAACAGGTATCATGAGGGGAAGTTGAGGAAAGATTCATCCTTTTCTTGGTACTTCCTTCAACTTGGGTGTTATGCTTCAAGATGCCTGTCGAACCAATCACCTTTATCTATCCCTCCCTTCTCTGCCATAGCCTAGACTAGCAGTGGGGAACCTGTAGCCTCAAGGCCACAAGTGGCCCTCTAGATCCATCAGTGTGGTCTTTTGACTGAATCCAAACTTCACAGAACAAATTCCCTTAATGAAAGGATTTGTTCTGTAAAACTTGGACTCAGTTGAAAGCCCGCACCCAATGACCTAATGTAGCTTCAAGGACACAAGTTCCTCATCCCTGGCCTAGACCTCCTCTGCTTACTTGAATATAATCCTATGCTTGCTTCAACCTCCTTCCAAACTCTCAGAACTTCTCAAGTGATTCTGAGGTAATATCTTTCTTTTATACTAATTCTTCATGGCATGGTCAAGCCCTAAGCATGACACAGTGGCTTTGATGCATTCAATTAAAAAGTGTTCTTACCTAACAAAGATAGTTTTAAGTGAGTGGGAAAATCAATGGATCCCGAGCCTTACACATACTTAGGTGTTACTTGATAATGGCAAAAGAAAAACACAGTACCCGTTTTTTTCAAATCCCTGCAAAAATTCTCCTTGCTTTCCATATTTGCATGAAGTATGAGCTCTAATTCTTTGTCTTCTTTTGATAACTCTCACGACTCATTGTTATAGCAAATCTTACTCTTTGCCATTGGTAACTGATACCCTGAAGGTCAGTTTCTGGGGAATCTTGAATGAGCTTTAATTTGGTTGTGGCAGGCTTCACAACTTTTCTTAAAATAAAAGTATGCTATGCATTCATTGACCTTTAATGTGACAATTGGTTCTTTCCAGCAGAGGCCTAATGAAAACAAAAATAACTCCAGACATGTAAGGGTCAAAAAGAAATCCAATTGCTAGCAAGATTCTATCCAATTAAATCTAATTGGGTATACTTTGTTTCTCCTGTCTCTGACTTATCAGATAACTCCATGCACATCCTGGCTTTCCAAATATGGTATGACTAGAGATTATCATCTCCTTTACTCGGTACCCCATGCTTTTAAGGTGAACTAAGATCACATTAAAATTTTTTGACACATTTGAGAATGGGTGGAGCTAGACCATATGTGCAACAAGGAATGGTGATATATATCCGGGAGTCTAACCAATTTATTCAGTAATGGTCATAAAAAGAAGAGATCATTAGGAGTGAGTCAGAATCCTTGCTCAGTGGTTACCAGGAGACTATTTGTCTATAAAGGGATCTTCCTTTATAGAAACCACCATTTAAGATAAATTTGATCTTTTAATTACCTCTCTTTAGATCTGGTAATTTAACCCGTTCCAGAACTATCTAAACTGTATCTATTCCGCACATCTTTGTCTTACCCACAAAAATAGCGTGGGAAACTTTCTCAAATGCCTACCTGAAAGAGGTTCCAGCCTTATCCTGATCTACTAGTATGGTAATCCTGTTAAGAGAAAGAAGTTAAATTATTCTGTCATGCCCTTTTCTAGATGAAATTATTCTCATGATCACCATTTCACTTTCTAAGTACTTATAATCCATTTTAAAATAATGATAATGACAATAACATTATTATTATTATTATCCTGAAGTCAAGTTTATGATCCTATCATTTGAAGAATTCATGCCTTTTCTTTTCTTAAATATAGTATATTTTTCCATCTTAACTCTCACAACACCTCTCTCGTCCACTTTTTCAAAGTTCACCAACAGTGTCTCATCAATTACAAACACCAGTTGTTTTCATAGCCTGCATTGCAATTCATGTGAACTAGTGATTTGAATGCATTGAAGCCAGCCATGTGTTCTCTTTCTGCCTTCCCTCAGTTCTCTTGGACTTCAACTCTCTAATGCTTATTTTTTCGATGATCACCTAGCCAGAGATTATTTTTCTTGATAATAAAAACAGAAGCAAAATAAGGATTAATTAGTACTGACTTCTCTTCCTTCATCAACTGTTTTTATGTTTCCATTTACCCTAAGAATAAGTCCTTTCCCTTCTTTGATCTTCATCTAATCCTAATCATGCCTTTTTTCAAAAGGTCATTGTTTTTTCTTACCATTCATCACCAGCCTCAACTGCTTCTGAGGGCTTGTCTTCCTGACACTTCTCAAAAGATCTGGCTACTTTTTTATATTCCCTAAAGTTACTCACTCTTACCTTCAATATCTATGCTTTTTAATATCTAAGTTGGGAAAAGAATGATAAAATTAAGTCAAATGCTATGTAATTATCGTGAACAATCATGGCACTCCAGAGAAGAGATAAGAAAAAAAAAATAACCCTTCTATAATTGGGGCGGGGGGGGGGGGGGGGAGGTTTTTCAGTGTGGAATGTTGCCCACACCGTCAGATATAGTCATTGTATTTCTAGTTCAGCTTAATTATTTTTATTTATTACAAGGGAATGTTCTCGGGGGTGGGGAACATATATATCCAGAAATGACTTTGAAATAAAAATAAAAGTCATAAATAAAGCTTTAACAATCAAATCAACTCTAAGTTGGTCTATAGTCTTCCATCCAAATTGGTATCTTTAGACTAGTGGCTCTCAAAGTGTTGTCTGAAGATTTGTAGGAATCTCAAACCCTTGCAGGGATTCCAATTTTCATAATTATATTAAGTCATTATTTGCTTATTGAAACCATCCTCTCTTTTTCAACTACAAGTCTGAGGCCAAATATTCTTCATAACTCTTTAACCAAAGCAACATATCACAACAGATTGAAGAGACTTGGAAAAATATGTAAAATACCACTATTCTCACTTTTTTTTTGTTTTGGAAAGTATAATTATTTTCACTTAAAATCCTAACATAATTTATGTTAGCATTTAATTGGTTGTCATTGTTGTTTTAAATGAATTAATAAATATTTTTAAATTTATCTATTTTAATTCTTAATATGATAAATATTGATAGATATGACATACATAAACAAAAGAACCATAGATGAAAGAATCATTCCATAGTATCAAACTTAAAGGATACAATCCCCTTTTATGTTAACAATCAACATACTTATCTTTCAAGAGGACTTGCAGGGTATTCATTGATTAGAGTCTATAGGATCAAAATCAAAGGTAATATTGGTTTTGAGTTGCCAGTCCTAGAAGCACAATAGCCACTCATTGACCCCTCCCACTACTGATCAGCATTAAAACAGACTCTTTCCAACCTGATCCAGTTCACCCCTTCTTAGGAAGCCTGGTGATGCCCTGCTCCTGGGAGATAGGGAGGCTCACTATATTGGTGCACTATATCATGCAGACACTTAATTGACTTTATCTCTACTAATGCTCAGAACTCCTGAATTCAACAATTCACCAACCTCAGCTTCCCTTAATAGAAGGAATTACCAAGTCCAGGTTTCCCTCCTATCCAAGGTAATTTTTTTCTTTTTCTTTTTCTTTTTTTTTTTTTGAGGCAATGAGAGTTAAGTAACTTGCCCAGAGTCACACAGCTAGCAAGCAAATCTGAGGTCACATTTGAACTCAAGTCCTCCTGGCTCTAGGGCCAGTGCTCTATCCACTGTGCCACCTAGCTGCCCAAGGTAATTTTTTTAAAAGAAAGAAATTAGCATAAGCATATTTTACTCTACAAGAGAATTCCAGATGAAGCTATTCCACAGAGCAGAGAGGCAACATATCAGATAAGCAGATTGGCTCTTTCAGACCCATTCCATTCATTATCAAGATATGTGGAGATGCCTAGGCTCATAATTTGCTCATGCACATTGCAAAACACAAAGGACATTTTGTAGACATAGAGAAATCTATTTTAGAACTGGGAACCAAGCAAATAGAATAGGTTGGTGGGTTCTTTTCTTCCTTTTCTAATTTAAGGTATGATTTTAAAGGAAGCTTGATTCATTAATTCAATAGCTTAATGGAGAGTCCCTTCAAGACGTATTATGCATAGCAGCTCAGTGTATGTTGGCCTCACAATCTATCATTGTAGTAATTTTGGAATATTGCCCAAGAACATTTCTCTGGATCCAAAGTTCAAAAGTAAATGTTGGCATGAATCCCAATTCTTCATCTCATGGACTATCGCTGGTTCAAGAAAAAGCTTGTGCTTGGTCTGAAATAAGTAAGATTGGATTTTGCCTATATTCTGCTTCTTGTGACCATCAAAATATTACATGCCCTCAACAATAATTGTGTGTATATAAATGTATGTGATTCAGAAATGAGGTCCCATAGCTAGTACAAAAGGTTTTGCAAATCTTTGAGTATTTGACTAGGCCCAGTGCTATGAGGCCATAATGAAAGAAGTCATTTATATCCTGCCCAATTTTCACAGCATCAGGAATCTGGTCCTGGAAGGGACTTCAGAGAATATTTAGTTACAGGATCATAAATTTAGATCTGAAAGGGACCTTAAAGGTCGTTGAGCCCAAACCCTTCATCTTACAGATGAGGAAACTGAGGCTAAGAGAAATCAAGTGAATTGCCCCATCATGCAAGTAGTAATCATGAGAGATACAAATTGAACACGGGTATTCTAAATCAAGAGCCAGTATTTCTTCCTCTGTGCCCTATTGCCTCCCTTAACTTTTCATTTCCCTTTGCCTGAACAGGTAAATCTGTCAATTATTCTTACCTTGCTTGTTATTCAAAACTTCTTTTCAATATACACAGGAAGTGGTCTTTCATCTGTAACCATTCTATGCCCTAGTTCCTGGAAGCTGCAACAAAGAAGGTTCAAGTCAATTGTCCAACCCAGAGGTTCCCAAACTTATTTGGCCTACAGCCTCCTTTTCTTTTTCTTTTTTTTTTCATGAGGCAATTGGAGTTAAGTGACTTGCGCACTAGCTAGTAAGTGTCTGAAGCTGGATTTGAACTCAGGTTCTTCTGATTCCAGGACCAGTGCTCTACCTAGTGTGCCACTTAGCTGCCCCTACAGCCCTTCTTTTTTCCAAAAAAAAAAATTGCTCAGCACCTCCCCAATCTACTTTTTTAACCCTTTGACATTTTTTTAAATTTGCATCATTTCAAATATATATGTATATATTTTTAAATGATGTATCTTAAATTTAATAATTTATTGTAAATTCATGGGATTTTTCCCGCATTGAAATTTTGATGATGCAGTATTGTGTCATTTAACTGTATAGTATCATATTGTAAATAAGCTCATTATTTCTGCTAATGAATGCTTCAGTGCAACAATGCTTCACTCTTGCCTGCCAACACTTGCTTATTAAGACCTGTAGGCAGACTTGACCACTGATTGGTTATAACTTGCATTTTGTGTGTTTATTTGGAAAATAATGTAATCACCACAACTTTAACTGTTACACAGCAGATGAAACATGTATGAATGGTTTTTCAAAATTTTCTTATCCTTCTTTCCTTATGCTTCCACCACCCCCTTATTTTTATTCAACACCTCTCAATTTCACTTGATGCTACTACCACCCCCCCAATAGCTCCAGCGCCCCCCAAGGGGGAGGTATCCGCCACTTTTGAACCTCTGGTTCAACCTATGCTTTCATCTTAAGTGTCTGTCCCTGCCTACCTTCCAGCCAGGTGCATTGTACTGAATAACCTAATCTACAGCTTCCCAAGATTTTTGTAAAAAAAGAGGTGCTTTTTATTTCTCCCAACCTATATTTATTCATGAAAGAAGACATAATGAGAAATTATTTACTGTTTCAAATTTATATAAATAATTAACCTCCACAGATTAGTTTCGTCATCTAAAAAAAGCTATTCTTTTTTATTTTACAAGTATTTTGGTATGAATTAGTTATATATTTCCATCATACATACTCTTGCTTCATTTGAGTTGTGTAGATAAATCCTAAGAATGGGCATTCTACAGCATTTATCACAAGTGCTTAGCAAAAACAGAAACTAAAGAAGGATAGTAAGCCATAGAATTATAAAGGACCTTAAGGACTGTGTACCTAGTCCAACATTTTGCAATTGACAAAAAGAGAAATTTTACTATGACCACTTTTCAAAACCTCTTTCTTCCTGGGGTTTTTTTCTTCCTATGTCCAACATGTTTCAGTCTCATTAGAATGTAAGCCCCTTACAAGTACGGTTTTCTTTTTTTCATATTTTTCATCATTTTACAGATGTGGAAACTAAGGCCAAGAGATAAAGTGAACTTCCTAACATCCTATGGCCAGTTAGTGATAAAGCCAAGATTAGAACTGCAGTCACTATCAGTGGAGTACTTTTTGCTTGCATCAAAACATCCCTGTTCAAGGTATAGCAGCTTCAAGAGGTATCTGCTCTCTTCTAGGCAGGATAAAAGAGGATTCCAAATGAAACCTGGGTGACACCTAGTTCCAGACCACATAAGGAGTATTGTGTTCAGTTCTGGGTACCAAATTTCAAGGAAAACTTTGGCAAACTGGAGCCCAGATGGTATGTCATCAGAATAATGAAATATCACTAGAGTCCCTACTACCAGAAGTACTCAAGAAGAGGCTATAGATGGACACTAGTCAGTAATGCTGTAGAAGAGATTCATGGATTGGAAAGATTAGTGAAACCAGAAATCTCCTGTCATTTTTCAACTCAAATTCAATTGCTTGCAGCAGCAGTAGTAGTAGTAGCAGCAGCAGCAGCAGCAGCAGCAGCAGCAGCAGCAGCAGCAGCAGCAGCAGCAGCAGCAGCAGAAGAGAAGAAGAAGAAGAAGAAGAAGAAGAAGAAGAAGAAGAAGAAGAAGTGGTTGGTGGTGGTGGTGGTGGTGGTGGTAGTAGTAGCAGTAGTAGTAGTTGTAATTGTTGTTGTTGTTGTTATAACTAGCATTTATATAATTCTTTAAGGTTTGCCAAGAACTTTACAAATATTATCTCATTTGACCCTCACAACAAACCTGAGAGGCGGGCACTGTTATTATTCTCATTTTACAGATGAAGAAATTGGGGTGGTTGGAGGACACTTGCCAAGGGTCTAACAGCTAGTAAATTTATTTTAGGCAGAATTTGAACTCAGGTCTTCCTGACTCCAAGTCGAGCACTCTGCACTATGATGCCTAGATGCTTCATTTTCTATACAATTAGGGTTTTTTTAAAAAAAGATGAACATTAAAAATCAAACACTACTAGAAGAATTGGTAACTTTATAAAAGGAATTGTTTCATCCTTATAGTGTAACACATCTCTCTAAGACTATTTCATTAATGGGAGGGCACAGGAAGATCCCAAGCTTTATATCTTAGGTTTGATCCCTTTCCCAACAAATACCAGTTCCACAATTAACACCCATGGCAGGTAGCCAAGAAACCCATTTATCCAGTCAAATAGCAAAAAAACAGAAACCAGAGAAATATACATAGGAGAATATATAAATACCAGACAATATAGAGCTCTCCCATTGGGAGAGCTCAACAAAGAGAGAGAGAGAGAGAGAGAGAGAGAGAGAGAGAGAGAGAGAGAGAGAGACAGAGACAGACAGAGAGACAGAGACAGACAGAAAGAGACAGAGAGACAGAGACAAAGAGACGGAGATTGAGAGAATGCTACTTCTCATCCAAAGACTCTAATGTAGGAAGCTGAGGATAGGGATATGATGGAAAGTGTTAGCTCCTCTCATGTAAGCTTCTTCCTAAAACATTTTCCTTCAGCAACCTTAACTGAGGTTGGCATCTTCCATCTACTCTCCTGAAGCTGGAAGCCAGAAGAGACTGAGGAACCCAACTAGACTCACACAACTCAAAGAAAGCTCAAAGGAGACTGAAAAGACTTGAATTCTCCCACTCTTGTCAACTCTGCCTAATGCAGGTTCATGGCATTGATTTCCATTAATAAGGAGAGAGTCTCATGAAAATGGGCTTTGGGACTAGGGTTACACATATGTATATAAATATACATGAAATACACATAGAAATACATACAATGTATTGAGAAGGGTTAGCAGCCATGGGTGTATGCCTTTGATCAAAAGAGTCAATGGCCCCTGCTTGTCAATGTCTATATCTATAAAATGCTAATGATACCATTTTCTGTATCTACTTGTGATGAGACTTTTTATGAGTAGCAACCGAGAAAAGTGCTTTTAACAATAAAAAAAAATGCTTCATAAATGAGTTAATATTATAAAAAAATTAAGACCTCATCTTTAAAAAATGGATAATATAGGCAGATAGTTCAAAAATTGCACGACAATTTGAATCATTTTCTAAAAATGTGATGAACACTGGTTTCCACAATTTGCCCAATAGAACTTGAAAGTGGCAGTTTGGGCGCTAGAGGGAGCCTTTGACATTCGTAGATTTCCACAAAAACAAACAATTCTTAAAACTGAAGTGTTTTACACTCTGGTTAACTTTCCAACACATTCTCATCAAGCCTGACATTTGACATTAAATAGCATGGTATAGCAGACTGAACTGCATTCAGATTATTCTAAGATTTTGGTCTCAAGAAAGCATAGCAACACCAGTATTCTTTTCTAATCAATTCAATAAAAATAATTCAACATAGAAACCAATGAGGAAAGTAGATTGGGTTCATATCAGTATAGTGCCATGGTAAATTACTCCCAGAGCCTCCATTTTGAGAAAGGGCCCAGATTAGCCTTGCTTCACTCTCCATACTTTGCATGTATGGAATTTGGTGGCTCTACATGAGAGCTTCAGCTTTCTTCTCCTCTCATCCCTATGGCTCCCTTCTCCTGTTGGTGATTTCCTTTATTTTGAGAAAAGGCCCAGACCTCTCTACTATCTTCCTGCAAGGTTCACCTGTCTTGTCTCCCCACCAGCTTTTTAGGTCTTTTCTGTGTGTTGTCTTTCCCCATTAAAATATAAGCTCTTTGAGGGCAAGACTGTCCTTTTGTTTGTATTTGTATCTCCAGCACTTAGCACAGTACTTGAGAAGTAGTAAGCACTTAGTAAATGTGTTGACTGACTGGCTTATTAATTAATTGACTGATCAACATTGGTAATAGAGAATTTTTATCTGTCCTATTTTGAGTTGGGCATAAGCATGCTCTTTACTCTCTAAAGACACCCTTTCTATTAAAAGAATTATACTATGGCTATATTGAGGGTTATTAAAACTACAACAAATTTCTTTAAAACTGAATTATAGTTAATGTCAATTATCTTCATCTTCATCTGTCTCCAACTGCTTTGTTAACCTATATCATCTATCTGTCATGTCAAGTAATTTATAGAGGTGGCTTTGGGACCTTAGCAGGCTAACAGTAATAAGCCACTTATAAAACACATTTAAGATTTACAAAATTCTTCCCTTATAAAAATTCTGTGAGATAAGACAAGGAACATTACTCCTATTTTACAGATAAGGAAACTGAAGGTCAAAGTGGCTTGCTCAGACTTAGATAACTAGTAAGTATCAGAGACAGGCTTCAAATAAAGATCTTTACTACAATAATGTCTTTACTAAAACAACATCAATCCCCCTATGAAAAAAAAGTCAGGAGTCTTTAAACAATCAAGTAAAAGGGATAATTTCTCATCTCAGTTTTTGTTTCTAGAAGGGTGATTATATACTTTAGCTTACCTTTCATGCATTTTTATTTTTATAAACCTCCCAGTGGAATTTTATATCACAGCTATTTCACAGCATTTTACTGCTGCTACTTTTGTCAAATTTCAAAAGATTCCTTGAATAGCTAACTGCGGCAATGAAGAACATAAGATGGTGAATCAGACTTAATTGTACTTCATCATGTTTAAAAGATGAAAATAAACCCAGGCCCAATAGATATGATAATAAGAAGGTCACTGTAGGAGAAGTTAAAAGTAACCAGCACAACCAAGAACAGGAAATAACTTGAAGCTCATACCTTGGGAAATTGCTAAACAAATGGTAATCTATGAGTGTAATGAAATATTACTGGGCTATAAGAAATGTCAGATATGATGACTACAGCGAAACACAGAAAGACATGTGAATGATGAAAAGTGATACAAGCTAAAGAAGGAAAACAATATACATAACATAAATGGAAACAAAGTAAATGGAAAAAACAACCAAAACAAAATAAAATTTTTAAATGAGTGTTGTGAAATTCACAGAACAAGTATGATCTCAAAGAAAGCACAGGAGAAAATACTTTCCCACTCACTCCTTGGTAGTGCTGGGGGAGCATGGCAGTGTCTAGGGGCATGGAACGCTGCATATGTAAATAACATAGAAGCTATTAGGCTTTCCCGATGCCCACTGTCTGAAAGTTGAGATAGGTTAGATGTCACTCTTCCTGCAGGGTTTTCAGGTACCCTTAAGGGGACTAGAGGATAGCTAGGCACTCTGCAAATGACTCTAGCCCCCCACAAAAATTGTTTCCTCAAGTATAAGTGAGTGGTCCACTGCATCCCAGTTCCATTTAGCCACTGACAAATTAGCTTTTCTACAGAAATATTTACTTCAAAGGTATAATCAATCACAAATATACAAACTTAGAACCTTAACACATGGGAAGCGTAATCCATCCCACCCCACACTGCACCACTTCTGGAGTCTGGAATTTTATGTCAGATTCTTCCTGACCCTATTTGAGGTTTTCTTGACAAAAATACTGGGAACGGTTTGCCAATTCCTTCTCCCCCTCTTTTTACAGATGAGGAAATTGAGGCAAACAGGGGTAAGTGATTTGCCCAGGGTCACAAAAACTAGTTAAGTGTCTGAGGCCAAATTTGAACTCAGGAAGATAAGATAAGTCTTTCTGACTTCAGGCCTGGCAGTTTTATTCACTCCACCACCTAGCTGCTTCAGGGAGTCAGGAATATCTACATTTAAATCCAGCCTCAGACAGTTAATAGCTGTGTAAATAGTAAAACTATATAAATGTTAGCTTTTATTATTTAGCTCAATCCCCCCAGAGAACAGTCCTACTTCCAAGCCCAAAATCCGCCTGGGACTTGAGTCCAAGCACCCTGGCTTCTTAGGGCTTCTATGCTGGGCTGGCTGGCTGCACCATCCAACCTGCAATCCAAAGTCACCTTAGGTCAAACTCCTGGTATAAGGTATCATCTAGGCACCTGAAACTGAGGAGGACAAATAACACAGAACAGAAATAAACACCACCACCCCAGGCTTATTTCTCAGAGCCCAGGTAAAAGAGAGAAGGAAGCAGAAGGAAAGTCCTTCCAGATTCAGTTCATGGCTCCCACGTTGTGGATACACTGTGATCTTCACCCTCTGGCCACAGCTAATAAGTGGTTGAAAAGAGGGCTGCAGAAAGAAAAATCTCAGCAGTTTTACAGACAGAGGTAGATAATCAAAAACAGACAGACAAAAGCCCCTCGAGGGTATCACTATGTTAAAGGAACTTGGCATGCCCAGACACACCAGAGTTACACATTCAAACAGGTTTCACTTTATATAAATTCACATTATGCAAGTTTGACTTTATGTAAAGAAGTTTGAAAGATCTGCATTCATTAAAAAAAAAACCCTATATTAACTATACTGTATAGTGGCAGAGTGGACAGAATGCTGGGCCTGGAGTCAGGAAGACTCATCTTCCAAATGTTCAAATCTGGCCTCAAACTCTTGTTTACTAGTTTGTGTGATCCTCAGCAAGTCACTTAACCCTGTTAGCCTCATTTCCCTTATCTGTAAAATGAAGAAGGAAAGGGGTCACAAAGAGTCAGACATGACTGAAAAACAGCTAAACCACAATAGTACTGTGCTCTCTACCTCCACCTCCTTCCCCGAAGCTAGACCCTCCATAACCTCCTACCCCACTTCCAGAAAAGAAAAAAAAACCTCTCCAAGTGAAAACAGAAGAACCAGGGTGGAAGAGACCACCACCACAGCCACCTGATTGTGATTTGGCTTGAGAACTTCAGGTCCCAGAGAGAACTTTTCCTTACCCCACAAATCCACCTTTGTGTACAGCCCTGAGTGTCTGTTTCTATCAGTTTTCCCTCTCTCTATCCCTGCCCCCTCAAGTTCCTCCTCCTGCTCTCACTTCTCTATCCCAAGCCCCAATGTGTCCTTGAACCTTGTGCTGGCCCCCTCCTTCAGGGAGCATGGCCCATTCCTACCTCCTATCTCCCTTCCTTCCCCACATCCTTGGACAAATTTGCATCATGTAAAATTGCTTTGCAAAGAGGTCTTCAAGAAGACCCACTTACCTGAAGCAAGAATTGTCAGTATACTGTCAGATTTTGTATTACATTTAGTTTTGCTAAGGTTTTTTTTCTCTTCTTCCTCTTTCTTTTAAAAAAATTCTTTGTTATAAAGTTTGTCTCTCTGGAAGAGGGAAGGGAGAGAGATACAGGGGGAATGGATATAAAAACAGAAGAACAGAAGATATCAGTAAAAATGTATTTTTAAGTACCCAGTAACAGCATAGTTCTTTATTAAATGTAGAATGAATGGTTGAGTAATAAGAATGGAATAGAATTTTGTACACTTCACCCCTATGTGCTGAACTTATTGCCTCCATGGCAAGCTGCTTTTGACCCTTTTGGCTAGCCTTTGCCTTTCCTCTATTCCAATTTTTATACCAACCAAAAAAACCTGAGTCCAAATGACACAAATCTGAAATTTTTCTCTATCCTAATGCCTCCTTATTCACTTTTCTAGAATTTATTTGGCTTTATCACATATTCAGGCTTTATTCACAAATCCTTACTTTGTTTCTAAATCTCGCCCAGCCAGCCTGAACCAATCGGTTATCACAACAATGCAAGGATAATAAAACAAAAGATGACTTAAACAATAAATATTCTCACCCATCACTGCTCAAAATATAATCTCCCAAGCCTCCAAAAATTGTAGGCAATGAGTCTTCCCATCTCTACTTTCCCTGAGCCAGGCACCATATGCAAATATCACATGAAAAAATAAATGGTTTGTTAGCCCATTGTATTAGTACTCTGCATTCCTCTGTATCATCATGACAAAGCAATCCAGGAGAGGGCAAAGAGGTGTTAGCCATTTGCCTGGCATGCTATATAGGAACTGAGGTAATCTATGACCCTAATCCCCCTCCACTTCCTGGGCATTAAGGAAATGTAGAGGGAGATTATACCCCTAAATTCTGGGAGGATATTTGTATGTTTGTCCTTTCCATGCCTTTGAAGTAAATATTTTTTTATTTTTTAAATTAATTTATTTTGAATTATCAATAATCACTTCCATAAGCTTTTGAGTTTTAAATTTTTCTTCCCCTTCCTTCCCACCTCCCTCCCCAAGAGGGCAATCTGATATAGGCTATACATATACATTCCTATTAAACATATTAGTCATCTCACAACATGGCTATTATTGTGTACAATGTTCTCTCTCTTTGGGATATAGCCCAAAAGTGCTATTGCTAGGTCAAAGGGTGTAATCGAAAGGATTACTTACTGTGCAGTTTAGGTTCGGATCTCAAGACATAATGACACGTATTCAGTATAAACTTAACAGGTAATCACATTTATTTTACAATGATTAATAATTATTAAAACAAAACACACTCATAAAGATGAGAAAAACATTCAATATATTAAGTAATAATCAAAATAAAGAAAAGGGGGAATTAAAAAAAGAAAGGATACACTGACCAGGCTAGCTCATACCTGCTAGACCAGAGAGACTGAAAAGCCGGCCAAGAGATCTGGTCAGGGAAGCAATGGGGCAGCGTTCCACTCTGACTCAATAGAAGCGGTGTACGCATTCTGCTTCTGATCACAACAGAGGTTCGGTGTCCCTATCTCTGACATCAAAGTACTACAAAAATCCCCTTCCAAATGACCCTTTTATATCTATGTAAACCAGGGGAAAACAATCTTGATATTTTGTTTTCTGTACGTGTCGTTGGTGAATGGCCAGGTCCAGGGCACGTACACATTCCAACAAAGGTTGGAACTTTATCAAAGCTCCAAATACCTGTTTGTTGTGTTATTGTCCAAGGAGTGATCAATTCCTTGGACAATTACAAGCTTTTCTCAAGAAAAATGTTCTCGAGATAAATTGGTTTCCCGGGTAACATAGTTTATTTAGTTGTCACTTAATGTTCCAGTCTCCTTAATCCTAGCCACGCTTTGGTAACTCCATTTATCTTTATGTCAGGTTGTGTGGGACAGAGACCACCACTCAAAATAAAAACAAAGACTTAGATACCTTGAAGGCAGAAAGGAGTTTATTGCTTTCCTCATGAGAAAGGGTACCACCCTTAGTCCCCATTGCAGGCCAGGAGAGTACAATTGGGAGCCACACCCTTGGCTTTTTATCCCCTAACACTATGCCCCCTCCCACTCTCTTACCCCTTTCTCCTTTGACTGGGTACTGAGGGTGTACATTCTAAACACAGCAGCTGATACCCAATAGAAGTAAACATGCCCAGTTTGGACTAGATGCATATGTGTACTAGAAAGTAGGAACAACCAGGCACTGGGCTCCCCCCCCACCTACATGCTGACCTGGTACTGGAGAAATAGAAGCTAATCGGGGAAAATGGAAACTTAACTCAAGGCTTTCTGGAGGAATAAAACTTAAGCCTGTGGGAACTGCACTGCAGGCCATCTCTCACACTCTGGCAGAGTACAGGAGAGAGGTAGGAGCAGAGCAGGGAAGTAAGAGCGTAGCAAAGAGATACTAATGAGGGAACTTCACTGTGAGCCATCCCTCACAATCCCCCCTATTCTTTTGTCCTGTCTTGAAGTTCCCTCACCATTGTTGATGAACTTCTTCTATCATGTCTTCCTCATTGCCTCCTTCACTTCCTACTCTCTTTCTCATCTGAAGTCTTCCCCTTAATCATCATCCCTTTAAGTAAAACACTAATGCAACTGTCCCTTTAAGATTCAAAAAGTTATATGACCTAACATAAGAAACAGGGGGCTGGGGAGGATCTATCCTCCTCAGTTTCCCTTACACTAGGCCTCTAGATCCGACCCAAACCCTGGTCAGAAACCATTAAAAAAAAAACTTGTAATCTTTACTCTAATACAAACAGTAAACATCACACATCATCCCCAAAGAAGAGGGGAGGCCAAAAAAACTTATCACCCTGACAGTGGAGAAAGTTCACATAGCATCGATTACAGGGGAATCCATGAGCTCATTAACAGTAAGAAAATAAACGTAGTCACTCAGAAACAAAAGACACCAAACATTGTAAAATATAAGGTCCAAAAATCAATAATAAGAATATTACTAATAATATAAGTAGTAATAATTTCAATAGTTTTGGTAATATTAGTCAATGCCAACTCATGATCAATATATCCTACCCAGGGGATTAAAAAAGCAGTAGTCTTATATACCCACCATAAAAAGTTATCCCAAGAACTTCTTCTATTATGGATTATAGAATTAGTATAATTATATAATTGCATTCTAGGATTTATTACGCTTAGTGTACACTGACCATAGTTTTTGTATGGACTTAAACATTGGAAAGCATTTAATGTAGTAATCATATCCCAGTGAATCAAATTTGGTAGAGCTTCATACACTATTAAAGGAATATTAGATCTTCCACATAAAAATATATATCCAGTAGGGGCACATATGGTACTAAGAATAGTAGTAATCAGAGGCAACTAGGTAGTGCAGTGGATAGAACACTGGCCCTGGAACCAGGAGGACCTGAGTTCAAATCTGGCCTCAGACACATAACACTTACTAGCTGTGTGACCCTGGGCAAGTCACTTAACCCCACTGCCTAGTCAAAAAGAAAATAAAAAAGAAAATTTTAAAAATGGAATAGTAGTAATCAATAAATGTTCTACTGCCTGTCCCCATAATGAAGTATCATTACAAGAGGGGAGAAAAAAGGGATTCAGATTAGTTATACTCAATTGTATGTGTATCTGCCAGGAAGGGAGTTTTTTGTGGGGAACTATTAACTTAGTGGCATTTTTACAACTCTCATTTACTGTCAATATAGTAGAATTAGGAAACCTATAACTACAATTAGTTGGCACATACATGAAAACATTTGTTCTTTTAAAAAGCATTGGAGCCTGAGTACAATTATTACACGTTGTATGAGTAAAATTGGGGGAAGTAAAAGTGGATATATTGCCATTTATACAAATATATGTAAAGGGGCCTACTTGGGCTTTTCCTTCTACAGTGATAACTATACTTCCAAAATGTTGACTTTCATTATAAGTTTGATTATAAAATTTTTTGTCCAGTATTAAAACGAAGTACATTTTTAAAAGTCTTTCTTTCAGGTTGCACTTGAAATAAGGGTGTTGCATATCAAGTAGAAGGATATGGTTGGAGCATTTCCGGCAGGTCCTTTACTCCTCTACATTGTGGAGGTCCATCTCGCATTTGAGGGTGAATTTGGCAAGCACAGCAGTTCCGTGGTCCCGTATCCACCATTGCTTGTCCCAATCACACCAGCGAACTCTGTTGCCATTGTCCAGGGATCGATGTCCCGAAAAATAGTATTATTTCTGTGAAGCACTACTCACACAAAAACAATTGAGTTAATGGAAAATAATGCATTTTATCATACTGAATTATTATCTCCTTCAGCAATAATTTCTGCAGTTTTGGGGATGTCAGTAGGGTGTCTTCTAACCCATACTTTAGCTCCTTTCACCAAATCATTACTTCCAAATTCACCATGTCTAGTAGTAATAGGAGGTGGTTCAAATATTTGTTCAGAATTTCCTGCAAGGTGCTTTATAACAATTATCTGACAAGATTGATCTTATATACAGAAAGCCTGAGGGAGGGATCTAGGAAAGGCCAAGTAGTTTGGGGTAAGGGAGGTAAGACAATGGAGGGGAGATTGGGTGTAGCCACAAAGAAAGGCCAGATATATGGGACTATAGCCTCAGGAAATCCCAAAGATTTGGCCATGTGGGAAAATCCAGGGTTTTTTTCCTTCTGGGGCCCAGATCCCAACTTCATCATTCCCCCCCACCTCAAACAAATGGGACCCAAATTCTTTTGGAGTAAGGGGCGAAGGTCTCGGCTTCTGTAACTGCTTCCTGCTGGCAAGGGCAATAGAGCTGTCTCTGCCTCAAGGGGGTCTCAAATTGGAGACTGACTGGAATTGAGCACAGGCTGCATCCAGGGAACAATGTGAGGACATTGGCTGGTACTAGCTGTTTGCTACCAACTAACCGTAGGTGAATGGCCCATAGTCTAGAAGACATAAATCTGACAGAAAAAAAAACTGTAGGGCCCAGATATAAAGCAGGGACTAGATTTAGGGCCCAACTTTGAGAGGATAAAACATCCTTAGCTCTGTTTGGATTCAGATAATTCAGTTTTCCAGCCATGCA